CATCGATGATAGCAACCTTGTGACGGGTCGGACAGTTCGCAGAAACATGCCCATACCCTTGGCATTTGCAGCACTTGACGTGAGGACCAATCTTGGAGAAATCTTTCTCCATCTCCTTGCCTTTGGGGTCGACTTTAGGCTGGGAAGAACTGGGATTAGATCGACTCGGAGGATGACTAGAAGTAGTGGTACAGGAAGATTAGGAGGAATGAGTTCTAAAATCATGACTCCTATAAGACTGATGAGATTTGGCTTCATCTAGATCTTGAACTAATGCGTAAGCTTTCTCAAGGGTGTCTACTCCCCTAGCAAAGAGTTAGGTTTGCAAATCGTTTCTCAATCCAGCTCTAAATTTCGATAAAACCTTCATTGGCGCCTCTTGCTCAATAGTGCTGCATCGAGTAAACAGTTCATCAAATTGTGCAACATATTCTTTTGCGGACTTGGTGCCTTGAGTGAGACGATGCTACTTGTCTAGCAATCGATGATAAAATGATGGCAGAAGGTATTTCTGTTTTAGTTCGTTGATCATTTCTCGCTAAGTTGTAATCGGTAACTCACATTTAATGTGCCTTAATGTTTCGAGGTTGGTTTAATATTGGCAGGCGGGTCCGGTGAGTTTCATCGCGAACTTGACCTTTCAGGGTTCCGTCAGGACGTACCAATCGAAGTAGCGATCCATGTTCTTCAGCCAGTCCAGAAAAGCTTGTGGGTTGAGCTTGCCGTCAAAGGTTGGTGCGCTGATCTTAATACTCCTCAGGTATTGTGCATCTGGATCAAGTACCGGTTGATGTGGGGGTCGATGAGAGAAGTGCCCATAACCTTGGCTTTGTAGCGGCGGGGCGATGTGTTGATAACATTGATCTTGCTACGGCAGGGCGATGTTTTCATAACCTTAACCTTGCAACGGTGGGGTTGCAACACGCGCTTCGTCGATCCTAGCGAGCATTTCATTGGTGTCTATTCAGGGTCTCGCGGGTAGCTCTACTCTCTTGGGCTAAGTTACCTACTTTTCCTGCTAACTCAGCGATTTGCTTAAGAATTTCGGAGAATTCAGGATTTGCATTGCCTGACATGCTGGACTCACTAATTGATCCACTTGACTCTCCTAATCGATAGGGTAGACCCGTGCAAGTGGGCATGCACTAACAATTAGATGATATGAATGATTGCACAATAATTAAATGAGATGACTGAATTTTTTTTTAAATAAAGACTCAACTAAAAAGAAATTTTCTAACTTAGAACCACGCTCTGATACCAAAAATAATGTGAAACAATGTATATGCAGGTGCAAGATCAGCGATAACAATGCTTCACCAAATCAGTGATCGATCTAAGCAGGAAATTCAAGAGTAGAATGAAGCGAACGATGATTTTTAAGCAAAAGTTGCAATGTACTAAGTTTGAACATTTGTAAAATTATTCCGATAAATAATGTAATGATTCGTTCTCTTAATACAGTTTAATTTATAATATTTAGATAAGCAGAAATACTTGGCAACAGAAACACTCGCTTACTAATCAAATTGAATACAACATAATCGCAATTGATACTAAGATTGATAATAATATGCTCACAATAGCGGTTCCGAAAATACTAGGTCGATAGAAAACAAAACATTCGCCAGGTTGAACTGGTTCGACGGAAGGTTCCTCTAGAGGTGGTTCGTACACGCCGAAAATGAGGGGAGGAAGTTCTCCGAGAGCCACGTAATTGGGATGAAGTGGCGCGTCTAGATTGAAATACCTATGAAACGAACTGATGCCTAACTGAGCTTCCACACTACTGACAATCTGATGAGTCACACGTTCGATGTATTCGGGCACAGTCTCGAACGTCTGATAGTCGAACCACGGGGAAAGCTGTAAATCAACTATATCAGTCTTTGGATCAAACACGAGATCGTAGTCTTCATCATCAGGATCAGCCATGCACCAACAGATCACAGAAAGTCAGATCCAACTCGACGACTATGATGGGAGGAGACAGAGCTATCTCTGTAGGAGTACTGTTTGTTGGGGAAGATGACAGGGGGAAGGAGTTGGGTTTGTGGGGCTGCACAATTGGGAGGAGAGCAGGAGGATGTTGAACGGATCTGGGAGGAGGGAGGAGAAGTGATGGTGGGGTTCGTGGTGGTTGTGGGGAATGTTGGTGATCTGTTTGGGCGAGGAAGATGACGGCTACAGATGGCAGGTGCTCGAGTTCGCTGCCGGCAAGGGAGGGGAATGGGAGGCAGCTAGTGGTGCGGCAATTTGGGGGAGCGACGACAAGAAGGAAAATAAGGTTTGGATCTGATGGTTGGAGGTGGACAAAGGGGTGGTGGCGTCGCTTAGGAGGATGCAGGTGGAGGCTTGGGGGATGCGACTGGGCGTGGTGAGGAGAGATGAAACGAGAGAAGTTGAATGAGTGGAGATGGTGTTCACGAAGGGGAAAGCAAAGTTGGCGTTGGGTTGCTGTTGTTGAGGGATGAAGACGAAGACATGGGTGGGGAGTTTACGTAGAGCAGTAGAGAACAAAGAAGAGGTGATGGCTGACAGAAACAAAACTAGCACTTGCCTAGGGTTTCACACCACAATTAAGCTAATGTAATTTTATTTCAATCTTCAATATTTTATTCTGATTATAAGAGTCCTTAAATAAAGAAGATTACAGAATTGGAAAATTCTCTAAATCCCTCAAATCTCTCTCATAGTCAAATACAATCAATCAGCTGATTAGCTACCAAATAAAATCAAAATTCAAAATGCGAAATTCAAAAATTCAAAATTTAAATCCAACAAAATAGGAAGTCTGCTCAATCCACTCTAGCTGTCGAATCTGTCATCAATCAAAATCAAAACCATATATTAGGAATCTGACGCAAAGCTGAAACATGGCGTCTCTTGCGCTGATAAACACGACGAAAGTCCCGTGCACGTGCTTGGATGTCCGCATCACCCCCAAATGCCTGAATGAACACCACCTAAAAGATCCCTCAATCGATGGATAGAAGTGCCAAACTCCACCTCGGTCTCCTTGCTTATACTAATGTGCTCCAATGACTTCAATATGCAGGTCAAAGCACTTCTCAATAATCCTATATCCCAACCTCAACTTCTTTCTCGGCCATCTATCTCAAAGCACCAACAAAACAATACAGAACAAATGAAAAATAGATCCAAACTGATAAAGAAGAGAATTTTACCTCCAATTGAAACCCTAACAAGAGACTCCAAAAGATCTCACCCCACACGACGAAACGAGATCCACAAATAGGAAAAATCCCACCTTTATCACAAAACGAAGCACTAGACCAACTTTCAAAGCGATATACTCCTTCAAATAGCCCAAGCGTAGCCCGAGCTCTGATACCACTTGTTGTGCGTGGCGGAAGTCAAAACCAAACCGATGTGCTTCGAGAAACCAAATCAAACAAACATACGCCGAGAGAGGATGCCAAACAATGCAAAATAATGCCACAAACACAAACAACCAATTTTAACGTTGTTCGACAAGTTGCCTTCATCCACGGGGCAAGATGGGGATGAAGTTTTCACTAATAGAGAAGAAGAGTACAAACTGAGATTACAAATCACTCAAACTAACCAACTAATCTCACCAACAAATCTCTAATTCTCTTTTAAAAAAAGCCCTAACCAATAGCTCAGAAAATACCTCTTTTCTATGCTCAAAATATCCCTAATTCAATTCCCAATCAAAACCAAAAAAACCCTAAAACGTGTGTTGGTATTGATAGCAAACACAAATCCCAAACAGAATAGGAAACCAAAACAGACCCGAACCCGACTCGCGGTCGACCGTGGCAAACGACAGAACCCAAAAAACAATTACAGGGTCTCAACGGCCGTCGCGCCAATCGACGCGGTCGACCGCCAAAAGTCCAGTGCTGTGCACGTTCACGGTTGACCGCGGCGCCACTCGCGGTCGTCCGTGAAACTTCCAAAATATTTCCTGCTTCCCAAAACCTTTTCTTCTTCGAACCCTTAGCCAAATCTACAATAAGGTGCTTCCTCCATGGTTTCTTCAATATTCCACTGAAATCTGAGTTCTCTCAGAGGACTTCTTGGACCTTTACATACTCAAACCAGCTAAACGAGTATTGTAAACCTGGTTCTCATGCTATATCTACTGGAATTGCCACCATCATCTGTATTTGTTAGTCATGAAGGCAGAGGTTATTAAAGAGTATTGGCTCGATGTTTTGTTATAATCTTATCTTATATTTTGAAGATTGTGTATTGGCTCATTTGCAGTGGTCGTTTTGCTTGCGGATTTAAAACAACAACATCAAGGCATTTATCCCAAAATCTTGAGGTTGACTTAATAAATTTTACTCTTCCATTCAGTTCTATTGAGGGATATGTCCTGCACTAAATTAAAACATTAGCATCCTTTGATAATTCTTCTTAATTGCTTCCAACCAAGTTCACTTAGGCCTACCTCCGGTCCTTTCTCTGATGTTGCAGTTGCTTTCGTTCGGTGATTTACCCAAACCCCCTCACGTGCACTCCACTCTGATATCGAAGTTGGTTAGATTCCCATTTGTTTTTTATAGTCTTTGAAAACATTGATTTAGTTTCCCCCTTCCATCTAAGATGAGATAGAACTACTTATGTATCTCATTGTATAGAGGACCGGCTCTTGGGATCTCCGGGGATGAACCTACATTAGTGAACTTGCAGCGGGCTTCCTTCCATTGCCTTACCCTGAAACTGCCTCGTTGCTTTCGGGACCCAGCTACTATATATCCTCAAGGTTATAGGCAAGCTTTACTTATCATAAAGGCTCGCATTTTTACATTATAGTTTGAAAGGTACGAAAAGGATATTCCTGATAACGACCTGCCCTAGATATTTACTGTTTTTATTTTGGATCACATTGATTGAGTGGGTGCATATCCTGAATGTTTAAACTTCCTTGCAGACCTTGTAATTTTCAGTTGTTCTTCCATGGAGAATTGGAGGATTTAACAAAAACTAGGATATTTTTAATGCAGGGTCATTTGCAGGTCTTAGTTTCTTTTCATTGTATTTGTCGGGGAAAATCAAAGTCTTCGATCGCAGGGGTCATGTGGCGAAACTATGTATTGTTCTGCTTCCTCTACTTATTGCATGTCTGATTGGAATTTCTCGAGTGGATGATTATAGGCACCATTGGGAGGATGTTTTTGTTGGTGGTATTCTAGGTTTGTGTCTTTCCATTGCTAATTTGATATCTTATTTTTTTATTCTCGTAGAGAACAATTTGCATTGTTTGTTGATACTTTGTCTGATTTCCTATCGATTTGTTTTTGTAGGTTTGATAGTTGCGACGTTTTGTTATCTGCAGTTTTTCCCTCCCCCTTATCATATACATGGTAAGATGATTCACCTGATTGCTGAAATGTTATCTTGTTCTTCTCATTTTTAGGTAGTGCAGTACTTGTTGTTGACTTGAACGAATCCTTTAAATGCTTCAAGGGAAAATATTGATTTGAAATAATAGTAGACTAGTACCAAGCTTTGCTCATCATCTGTTATCTGTACTCTCTTTTGACTTACGGCTTATGAGAAACTAGAAAAAAGGTGCGTTTTCATGGTCTAGTTTTAGGTTCTACTGATTTGACATAATAGAGTGGGAGCATGACTTGAAGCAAACAAGTTACTTGAATCCTAACTACCTATTTTGGAGTATATTTGATGTATATTTTGTTGTGGCGCTTTGTTTTTCACTTTGTAATGGAATTCTTTGTAGGATGCATTCTAGTTTCTTTTCAACCTTTTTAGGATCATGTATTTGGTTGGTTGATCATGATTCTGGGAAAAATAGTTCTTAGCTTTGATGCATTTTGGCGCTCTCGTCCTCTCATCAAATGAGTATTTTTCAGATTACCTGTGTAGTTAAAGCAAGTTATGATCAGATGAAAAAAATCCTTCCTTCAATATGTTTCCGTTCAAAATAAGCGACACTGTAACATCCTCGTTCATGATGGTCCCCTTTGGCATTTACATGATATAGTCAGGTCATATTCTTTAAAATTTTCTTGATGATTTTCTAAGTATTGTTACATCTTCTCATTTTAATTTTGTAGCATAGTGCCATAGTGGATAGTGAATAGTTCCATTCTGGAACCTTCTTCATATATCCAGATTCTCCCCGTTTCCTTAAGTCATATTTTCCCTCTTAACGTTTATCTTTGGGGTCACTGCTACCTATGAGATAAAGTTTGGTTCCAAGTACATTATAACTCTTGAGTTCACAGTGAGGGTTAAGAAATTTAATTTCGTATTTTAACACTCCCTGGAATTCGGGGCGTTGTGGACCAAAACTTGGGCCTATGTGCAGTGCTTTTCTAAACCTTTGTTTAATTTGCATCTGGCATAGTCCTTCAACTGCTCAATAAAAGTAACAAATGTATGACATATCATGACTTTATTCTTTTACAAAAGGCATACATGTTGAATCTATTCTCTTCGAGAGACGGGGATACTTGCTTTAGTCTTCGCAACAGACTGGATATGGGGCATGGATTCAGGACTGCATGCTGAAATGTGGTTCGGATTTATGTCTGATTGCATAGACGCAGTGCTACTAGTCACTGATATCGCGTTCGAGGTTTAGATTATAACCATTGTGTGGATCCTTTGCTGCCAGTCCTGCCGGTATCATATTATTCTCACTGCCTGAAACAAACAATTTGCATCACCCGAGATTTACTTCATCTTAGGATGTTTTTTCTTTCCCCTTGGACTTGCTTCCTAACTAACCTAGCTTTTTGAGTAAGAATGATCTAAATTAGAACAATTTGATGGATTTTTGTGATGATGTCATGTCCTATCAGATCTGGAAGGAGTTAGTATGCATATGCAGTAGAAATCAGTCTGAAACATTTTCATGTTATCGCATTTTGTATTCCTCCGACAGTTCATTTGAGAAGTGCATGATTGGACCATTGGGAGTAATAACAATCAAATGAATTGTATTAGAAAGAGTGGATTGTGCTGTTAGCAGATAAAACAAACATGACGAGTAATTGCTATAAGTTTTGAGATCGACTAGTCAAGATTTCCTGTAAATTACAGAAAAATACCCATGTGGTTTGAAAAAATAAAAAAATAAAAGGGAAATTCCTGTGATGTTTTAAAACAAGCTCTTTCACCGTCTTAGATTTCCGTCAAACTTGGTCACCTGGGTATCACGAGACCCCTTTACCGACAAAAATATCCCTCTCTCTTTTCTTTGGACTATCGAAATTTTCTTCTTTTTCCCTTTGCTAGATTAAGCTCTGCGTATATATAAGATTCACATTTAGTAAGCACAAGACTGGCCCTCGTCCTACTTAACCAAAGTTGTATATATATATATATATATATATATATATATATACATATACATATACATAACTGTTAAAACAGGTATAATTACACATGTAACCCTTGTTTATGGAAATTTTAATAGGAGGGGTGTAAATGTTAGTTCGAGTACTTGAGGGGGATTTTCAGTCTTTTCTATGAGATTCAGGCAGATTTTCCGTAATTTATCAGTCGATTTATTATCAAATACTAATTTGATTCTTTGTCTTAGGTTGGGGACCCCATGCATATTTCCATATGCTGGAGTCCCTCAGGAGCGCCGAGAACCAGCAAAGTGAACAAAGAACTATCGCTGGACCATCTGGAGTTAACGACGACAAGGCGAACTTGGACAATGGATCATCTGAAGCTCGCCGTAATGGAGCTAATCTACCTGATTTGGAATCTGGAACAGTGTAAAAAGAGTAATCACTCAGGCTAATTTTTGTTCAGCTCATCTTGTGTATATGTCTAACTAACAGGTACTTAGATATTTCATTCTAACATGAAGGCCAAACGTTTTCTTTGAAATGTTGATGGTTCCTTAGTGTAGAGGAAATGTATAAGTCCATAAGATGTTGTGGCTCTTCTTGTTATTGTAAATCTGTAGGGTTTTTTTAGCTGATTGTAAGTATCAGTGTCGCTGTGAAAATTTCTTTTGATTCGCTATCAGAAAGCGGGCATGTTATTTTTGACTAGCTGGCCAATATTTCAAGTTTATTGGATCTGTGGCGTTGTTGAAAGTAAAAGTTCTAAAGTTAAACAAGAGTGATAATTCTGAGCACAGTACTTGGTGTTTTCTATCATTTTGAAAGAAATTATAATGAGTTGTTTGCTCACTTTTTCCTTCAAAAGTTGCTATTAGTTTTATGAGCTTTTTATGTTTACAGCCATTATGTCTCCTGAAAAGAAGGAAAAAGGCAAAGGTCGATAGAGACTTCTGAGGAATCTTTGACGGTTTTGATACTCCGGGGAGCTACTGTGTACTAGAATGTAAACATGGGATCCAACGTGCTTAGGAGGGGTTAGTCACTTATAACTTAAAATTGAAACTTAAAATTGAAACTGAGATAATATGTGAGATAAATTTTAAAGGTGTTAGTTATATAGAACTAAAACTAAAACAAAATGTTATAGTGTTAGTCAAATAGAACTCTAACAAAACTAGAATTGGGATAATGGTATAGAATTATTCTATTTTTTTTATTTTTCTATACAAAAATGAGAGTTCTAGTCTCTCAAATTATTCTAAGTTTTAGCTTGGAATATTTTTCTATACAAAAATGAGAGTTCTAGTCTCTCAAATTATTCTAAGTTTTAGCTTGGAACTAGGTGGTAAAAAACTAGAAGAGAGTTCTAGTCTCTCAAATTATTCTAAGTTTTAGCTTGGAACTAGGTGGTAAAAAACTAGAACTCATTTTTATTTTGTTATTTTTTATTTTTTATATTTCTTTTTTTCTTCTTCTTTCCTATTATGGTTATCACCATGATTAGATCGTCATTATAATAATAATTATTAATATCTTATAGTCTAACCAAAAGTTGTTTAATAGTAAAGAACATTTATATAAGCAATTATCAATCAATAATAGTAAGTTTAAAATACACAACTAGTATTTATATATTCAAAATGCATAAATATATATTTCATGATTATAAAAATTTATCTCACGTTATTTTATCAGAATATCCCGCTTCACAAAATTATTCCTATTTATCCCACTAAAATATCCCACTGGCGAAAAATTATTTTACTTTAACAATTATCCCATTTTGCATGAAAATGTCCTAATTGACTAACACCCCCTGAGGGAAATTATTAGCTTCTCTCAAGTCCATCTTTTTGTTAACCCTCTCTTTCTCTTTATCTTCTCCCCCCTTTTTTTTATGGAAAATGTAATAAACATTTAACTAGAGATTTATAATATCCAATCGAAGCTCCCGAGCAATGAAATTGGGGCTTACCTTGAACCAGGAATTAACGCAAATTAAGTTCCCTTGCAAGCCTCATAATTAGCTAGCCAGTGAATGACAAAGTTTCCTTCGATCTAACAAAAGAAAACTGAAATTGAAATTCATCACACGACTCTTGATTTATTGCATCTTATCTTCTGTGGCCAAATAGAGAAAGCCTGGTACTGGTAGGTTGAAGGAGCTCTTTAGAGGGGATTTGGATCCTCTCCACTACAAAAAAGTAGTGGAGAGACCACTACTTTTAATCTCAAGCGTTGATTATTTAGTAGGCGGTTATGATACAATCTAAATCTAACACTTATCATACCCCGGTGTATTACACTCATTCCTAATTTGCACTAAAAGAAAAAATCATAACCATCAACTAGATAATCAATGGCTATGATTACGTAGTGGTCCCTCCACTATTTTTTTTTATAGTGGGGAGGATCCGAATCCCTTTAGAGGGATGATCTTTTTTGGTAGTTTGCAATTATCAGGGTGATGATCTTTTTATTTCTTGCCCAAGCTTTAAGTATAGAACTGATCTTAGCACTTTAGAGGTACAGCGTACACGCCTTTTGTTACAATTTTCTTGTGAGATTATATCCCGAAAGGAACTACTTTTCGATGGATTCCCATCTATGATATGAAATTATATGACGTATTAAGCTATGCTAGACCCCGCATATGATATTAATATTTGGCAATTTAAAAGTGAATTGAAAGTGTGAAAAAAATTCCTATTTTTTTTGTGAGTAAGAAAATGTATTCACATCAGCGTGTAAGTATGTTTGTTTACAAAAGCTAATTATTTGTTAGAAAGTAGAAAAGTAAAGATGATGTTGCAATTTATTTTATTTATTAATTTACTTAAAAGCATTTTGATTTATTATTATTTTTTGCAACTACAATTGAAAGTATTCACAGATCAGGTTAAAAATACAAAACTAGCAAAATTATAAGCACAACACAAAATTTAGTATGTAGCGTACCAGGTTAGGGAAAAAAATTCAAGACCAAGTCCCCCTTACGAAATTAAATTAATAACTAGTGCTTATGATAAAAAATAAGGCTCTTTTACAATAGTCCCTCGAATCTTTAATATTTCGGTACTCCTCCCCCTAATTATTGAAACTACTATTAGATCCCTCAATTCTTGTATCTTGTTACTACTATCCTTGACTAAAGGGATTAATTTGAAGCCATCAACCACAGCGCAATTATTTATATCCAGAATCCGGTTTTTGTTATAGAGCGCGGTACTATCGCTCGAAGATGAAAACTTTCACTTGGGTGCTACACAGTTTGTTATGTAGAAACTTACCTCATCTCTTTCCCCTTCTTAATTTTGAGAATAATTATATTTTGATGTTTTGCGTCAGAGATAAAGAGAAAATATTTTTGGATGCCATTTAATCTAAAGGCAAGTCCTATTAGAACCGAGGTGTTAACCATAAAGAAAAGAGCTAAATATTTCGAATTAACCGTTTTTTTGTATGTTTTCAAATTAACAATTTATTCATCCCTGAATGATATAGATTCTAGTATATGCCAGTGTTCTAATAAAATTATTACTCTAGTTAATCACACATTTTATATATCTAAATATCACACCATATTAGTACCTTTTGTAAGCTTTCCATCAGTACACTAAAAGGTTTGATGATTAAATAGGTAATGATAGTATCGTTTAAAGCAACAAGTCAGAGATATAATGATTTCTTTCATTCAAAACAATGGAAGTATATAATAAATCTACTATAATTTTATTTTCGAAAAGCAAATATTAAATTTGGTTTCAAATTTGGGATTTTAGTTTTACAAACATGGAGAGAAAACGTTAAGTAGCATACAACAATTTTTTTCTAAAAATAGCTTCATCAATATTCCAATAAATTAAATATTAGTTTGTAATTATTATTATTGTTTCCTAAAACTATATGGGCACGTATACATAGGAGTCAAAATTGCCTCCCAGGTATCGGGGAAAAAAAGTACAGGGATAAGATTGTTGCTACATGGACCCAAAAAATGGGATAGGTAGTGGGATAGTTGAGGTGTCAATCTCACATTGCATAATGAGCTGGCCAACAAACCCTAAATTTGCAATCTACACTAAATACCTCCAAACGAGTATTGCCAACAAACCCTTATTTTTGTTTCAATAAATTTTTTAGAATGTTGAATCCCAAAAATGTTTTTATCCCAAAATAAGGGGCTGTTTTCACTTTTTTTGCAGGGATAAATAAGGGGCTGTTTGGTTCAAGTAAAATTTTGGTATTTAGTGTAGATTACAATTTTTGGGATTAAAAAGTGTATTCTTTTAGGTTTTGGGGTTCCATAGTTGATTTTTGTTTCGATAATTTTTTTAGAATGTTGAATCCCAGAAATGCTTTTTATCCCAAAAGTATAAAAAACACTCAATTTTTAGAATTTGACAAATCTTCTCAATTGATTAATCCCATAAATCGGTATATTTACCCCTCTTTTTATACTTTTATATTTTATATTTTTGTGGAAACTAGATCACCAAGTTAACTACATACACATCTCCTTCTTTTATAGAATTGTTGTCCAGTAATTTGGGGTTGAATCAAACAAGATATTATAAATTGTAGGATTTACTTTCCTATAATAACGTCGAACCAAACAAATTATTAGAAATCACAAACCATACATAAAATCTTAAGGATTTGAAATTTTCTATTAGATTTTGAACCAAAAAGCCCCGAAAAGTGTTTACAGTTTACCCCAAACAAAAAAAGGAGGGGGTTTTAATGTAAAAGTGCCAAACCAATATCTGCCCCCGTTACCCGCCGGTGATTCTAACAACCGCATCCCAAGCGTATCCCCCCAGTCAGTTATGACGACGCGTATTCCGCCGACGGGGGGCAGCCTCCATTCTTGATTACTCAGCGGATTACGTTTTTGGTTTTGCCTCCCTCTTTTTTCTTTGTCTCCCTCTCGTTGTCTCCATTTTACAAGAGCAAAAAGAAAAAGGAGACGGGTTTTAAAATAAAGTGGTGGTTGGGTCAAATTTTCCAAATTCAAAGCGAAGACAAAGAAAGCGAAGTGGATCGAGACCCTCATCTTCTTCTTCTTCTTCTTTTGGCGGCCAGGCCTTATTATTATTATTATTATTAATCAGTTTCTCGTGGCGTGGCTCCGTTAGGTTTTCTTCTGAGAAACTCCGCTGTCGATTTTGTATTTAAATTTGTGATTATCTTCGTTTATTTTCGGGTGGTTTTTTTTTTTTGATTCAGAGGAGGAGGATTTCGTTCGTGGAGCTTTGGTGCTTTGATTTGACCTGAGGAGTTGGAATTGGTGAGAACGCGAAAACCCTAGCCTCTACTTTTATGTTTCTCTTTCGAATTTGTTGTTTGGTCTTTGAATTGTAGAAAATTTTCATGTAAGCGTAGGAATTTGAGGCTAATCTTCCCCCTCATGTTATCCCTTGGATTAGCTATTTGTAACTTCATATGAATAAAGTTGTAGACACTAACTCGCAGAAAAATTGGATACGAACTAACAAAGGAACAGGGCGTATCCAAAATTATTCATGATTTGTCGTCTTAAGGGGCCATGGATGAGAAATCACAGAGTTTGTATACTTATTTTGTTAATTTGAAACTTTACTCTAACTACCAATACACGTTAAGGATGTCCAAACATTATTATATTCCCCTCTCGAGCAAATCTTTGTGTCTTAATATGCTCACAGTAAAAGTTTAAATTCTCTAACCGTGTGATGCACTACCTTGCATGAAGCTGAAAAATCGGTGATGTATGTATGTAAGTAGTTTTCTTAGAGGAAGTATCTCAAGTAATTATTTCTAAGAAGGAGAATTCTTTAAAGAACATTTTTTTAAAAAACAATTAGCAAAATCGACCATTTTGCTAAATAATTAGCAAAATCAACCATTTTGCTAAATAATTAGCAAAATCAACCTCTTTTTGGTCACATCATCAAGGTTGGCCAATAAGAGGTTGATTTCGCAAAACTTCATCTTCAAAATATATGGGACTAGTAGTCACGTGTAATTATGAAATTAATTAAAGCCTAGAATATACACGGGACTACCAGTCTCGTGTTTTGGTAGTCGTGTGTTTTTTTCTAGGTCTAATTTCAACAACTTAACGTTGTTACAACATCGGGGTGATGAGAAGAGCGGCTTGTTCATAAAAGACGACCTAAAAGTCTTCGACACCCAAATTGAAGTCCTCCTTGGCATCTTCAATCTCTACTCCTTTGCCGCACTTTTGACTGGCCCCCAATATAGCTCTGCCATTGCGAAGGGTGGTGGTCGTCAACTGCAAACAAGGAGAAGGGAAAGGCGCTCATCCCTGGCAAAGGAAGAGGGGGCAAAGTTGATGTTAGGAGAGGCAAGGATGGGGGAATGTGTCGAAGAAGGATGGGCCTGCCGTCAGCATTGTCGGCATCATCGGCATCAGATCCAAACATCGGCCCTCCATAAGTCTCGTTGAACTCCGGTATCGAGAACCCGCAGGTTTCTGGCGTCGGAGGGATGTTGTCGTCGCCCGTTGAGCGTTAAAGGAGTCGTAGCCTTAACGCCTATGTAGCCGTTGCCATCATTGCTGAAGGTGTCAAAGGAGGAAGACATGGATGCTGAGATCTAGGGTTTCAAGATTTCGGAGATCTTTTTCAAGTGAAGGGAACAACAGAGGAGGAAATGATTATGGTCACCTACGATTTATCGGGACACTTATTTTTCATAATCTAGAAAAAATACACGGGACTAGTAGTCCCGTGTATATCTTGGGCTTTAATTACTTTCATAATTAGCAATTGTTAATTGTACGAGACTACTAGTCTCGTGTATTTTGGAAATGAATTTTTGTGAAATTGACCTCTTCTTGGCCAGCCTTAATGACATGGCCAAAAAGAGGTCTATTTTGCTAATTATTTAGCAAAAGGGTCGATTTTGCTAATTATTTTTAAAAAACAGTCTTTTTTAAAAAATTCTCCTTTTGAGAACATTACATGGGACTCATTTACACCTTAACAGAAGAAAAGTTCAAATTTTTTTGTCCATGTGCTCTTGGTTGACGTGCATTTACTAGTGTGTGCGGAAGCATGCATCTATGTCTAGGGCATATTGGATATGAGTTTTCATCTCATTTACCGTGTGAGATCCACTTGCTTTGATGTGACTAGCTCACTACTAGTATATGTCTTGATAGATCATGTGTTGTCACCTCCTACCCATTTTCCGTCCAAATTGAGGAGAAAGTTCTTATAATGTTGGTTGCCACATGCTTTGGTATATGACATCATGCACAACCATACTTTAGATATATGCCCCTCAAAAGTTTCATATCTAATCCCAAAGTATCCAATCTAGAAATCAATCCCCCAGATCATACAAGATCTGAAAGTTCATCCCTGTCTTCAATTTGAGTTGAATGTATTATACAGGTTTGGCACTTATTGCTCATGTTTATTGGTGCATGCGCTAACCTAGCAAGCAGAGGGGAAGGACAACCATTTTGTGTTGTGTGTTATCCAGAGTTCCCCTAAACAATTCAGCATGGGATGTATTTTAATGAAGTCTGGAGGGAACTCCCGAGAACCACCAAGCTAACTTACTACTTTTATTTGTGTAAGGGTAGATGAGAGAGGGAGGGAGGGAGAACTTTGTTTTATTTGCAGATAGATCCTCAGAGGGGGGAAATACCAAAAAAATTCAGTTGGCAAGTGTAAGTGCTAATGTAATAGTTCTGCTAAATAGTTCGGTACAGGATGTATTTGGATGAAGCCTCAAGGGAACTCCAGAGGACAACCAACCTAACTTACTACATTTATTTGTGTTTTATCTGCAGATAGGCCCCCAGAGGGGAAAAAATACCAAAAAACAGTTGGCTAGTGTATGTGCTAATGTAATAGTTCCCCTAAAGAATTCAGTACGGGTCCTACAGGATGTATTTGGATGAAGTCTGGAGGGAACTCCAGAGGACAACCAACCCAACTTACTACTTTTTATTTGTGTATGTAGAGGGAGGGATGGAGAACTTTTTGCAGAGGGGAAAATGCCAAGAATTCAGTTGGTTAGTGTATGTGTTATCCAGAGTTCCCCTAAACAATCCAGTAAATGATTTATTTGAAGGAAGTCTCAAGGGAACTCCAGAGGGCAACAAACCTAACTTACTACTTTTATTTGTGTATGTGAGGGAGCGAGGACTTTGTTTTATTTGCAGATAGACTCTCAGAGGGGGGAAGAACAAATAAAATTCAGTTGACCAGTGTATGTGCTAATGTATTAGTTTGATGTAATAAGTGGCATACCTACATGATATGGGGGGTGTATCTGCAATGAGAAGGGAAATTTTACGGATTCTATCATTTACGGGGTGGTGTCATAAGTAAATACGACTATTTGAGGAGCTTTCTGAATATGAAATATTTCAGGTTATATCTCAAACATGGTATATTGTTGCCCATCCATCTTAGTGTTCTCCTTTGTGCTACACTTATTTTCTGGACATGATGTTCTTAGTTGCCAACTTCTAACCCATAAAGCTTGACTTGTGGCATTACCACACTAACGTTTCCTTCAATTTTATGAATATTTTATTGTCACGTAATATTTGAAAGCCCTTCTCTTATATAACTATCTTGTAACAATTTTTTGAAATATTCTCCAAATTCTTATTGCAGTTATGAATGGTTACAGTCATTTTAGTTTTGTATCATGCCTAAAACTTTGTATTTATAATCTTTTCTCCAACTTTCCCATTTAGAAATCACCCCTTCACTCCTCCCGCTTGGTCTGCTAAAATATCATATGCCAACAACGTGCACCCTGGAACCTGACCTTGTATGTGGAAGTGAGTTAATCCACAACTAGTGAGACGACATGAAAAAATTCATGACCACCCTTGGATTTAGCTTATAGTGACAGGGAATCAATTTACCTTCTCAAAATATCGTTGTTATTTGTATATACTTAATCCCTTCTATATAATTAGTTATAATTTTAATCCTTTAAAAATAAATCGATTTCTTTAATTATATCATGAAATTGTTATTACATTTTTTTAGCTGTCCCAGTGAACAGAGTTTTTTGCTCTCTCCTATCTTTGAAGGTATCAATATTCACGCTCTGGTTTGTAGTTGGACTTAACTTCACTAGTTTGGTTGTTATTTATAAATACTTTTGTGCTTGGACCTGATATTTATCGCTCAACTTCTCTTCCGCCAGGCAAGGATGCCAGATATACAGTTGGGTGCTCATACTTTTAGATCTCATGGAACCAAAGTACTAAGGTTCCACATGCATGACTGGCTTATACTGGTGCTTCTTGCGGTGATAGACATAATATTGAATGTCATAGATCCTTTCCACCGTTTCGTTGGTAAAGACATGATGACAGATCTGAAATATCCGTTTAAAGGAAACACAATACCATTTTGGGCTGTGCCAGTACGTTGTTGCAGTTCTTAAATTCATCTTAAGAAAGAATACGCAAATGTTTAATTATAAGGATAACATGCTTATGTAACTGTTATGTTCTGCTATACAGATAATTGGAATTTTACTGCCTTTTGCCATCTTTATTGGCCTTTACTTCAAAAGGAAGAATGTGTATGATTTGCATCAAGCTATATTAGGTATGTCTTGTTTTCATATATTAATTCTTTTTTGGGGTTGTATGATTTAGATGCTAAGTTAATGACATATGCTTGCAGGCCTTTTATTTTCTGTGCTTATCACAGCAGTCTTAACCGATGCGATTAAAGATGGTGTTGGTCGACCACGACCAGATTTCTTCTGGCGCTGTTTTCCTGATGGAATAGGAGTAGGAAGCACTGTTTTCGCTGCTTAAGCTCTTTATTTATAGTGCTTTTGCCCATATGTTCCATGTTGTAATGTTGATGAACATATTGTTTCAGGTTTTTGATAATGTTACCTCAAATGTTATATGCCATGGGAAAAAGAGTGATATTAAGGAAGGGCATAAAAGCTTTCCTAGTGGACATTCTTCATGTAAGCAACACTTTACTCACCTTCTTTCTGTGAACATTTCGTTTTGATGGTTTGCTTTTCAGATTGTTTCTTTTTCAATGACTGTGACTACATAAGAGCCATCTTAGTTTTGTGACTAATACAAATTTTGTTAATGTTTTCTTTTTGTTGATGTTTGTATGCTGTATTTCCTTGCGTGATATTGTTTACCACTTCCATCTTATGTAATACAGGTCACCACGCTTTTATTGTGAAATATCTTTTCTCCATTAATGTGTTAATTCTAAGAAAGCATAAGGACAAGCTTCTATGTCACCCACCAAAAGGAGAAGAAAAGCAAAGGCAAAACACAGCCTCACTGAACACTTAAAAGCATACACACTACCCGTTTTCTACCTTTGTCTTTCTATCTGTCTTTTTTTAAACCCCTTGATGGTGACAGGTGGGGAGAAGAGAAAAGGGTATTTGTGACTTTGCATTATGGAGCATATGCTTCTGTTCTGGACTTGTTGATATAGATTTATTGCGCCGAAATTAGTGCTAGTTGTGTCCATGACCACATGCATTGTCCACACATACATTTCCATGCATTGTCGAATTTCCAGGTAAACAGTCTAGCATGTTTCACATTTAAGGTCTCTCACTATTAGATCAGCTCATTTCTGCAGCAATTGGAATTGTTCGTGTTTTTATTTTCATGTAGATGAAGCTCCAGCTTTGAATAACCTAAAGGATTAGAGAACTTATTTTATAAATCCTTTTCTTCGGAACCTGTTCCGAAATAAACACGATTTGAGGGGCCAATATCAGAAAAACTTAAAGAATAAAAAGTTTTTCTGACGAGCTATTCCTTTGTGTCTGTCCTCTGCAAAGTCCCTGGATTAGGAAAGAGAAAGCAGAATTGTTCTAGAGCACAATGAAGGCATCTTGGCAGGTAGGAATGGTTCCTTATTAGTTATATGACTTAAGGTCATGCAACCATTGGCTTTGGTGTTGTTTTAACTGCATACATTAGGAACATATAGTAATTAATGGATTGATACCTAAACTTTCAAATGTTAAATTTCTCCAAAGAACTATCCTAATTTCGTCATACCTGAGGCCGTCCTTTTTTGGCGATATTAGGTGCTTCGTAAAAGATAGTGGACAAAATTATCAGAAGCATCTCTGCCAATTCTATCATAAGTTATAACTGATTCCTACAAATTTTACTAGGCTTATTCCTCTTATCTTCACTCATTTTTTACTTAGCCGTGGAAATGTCCAAAAGACTATTTACTCAGTTACCCCTCACCGCCATCCAGAGTGTTTTTCTTCTCTCTTTGTTTTGTAATCTCCTTTTCTTGACGGATACCAGGATGGGACAATGAAATAATACAGTGGGACATGCTTTGGCTGCAGTCTCATAACTTCTGTATGGGATCGCCGTTATTTTTCTTCCTTTCCTATAAACTGATTTCCTTTAGTGTCCTAGTTCAGGCCTAAGCTCAAATCTATAATAACTTGCTCATATACTGTAATGATTCACCTTTTATTTGCTTTGAGAGGTTTCAAGGTCAGATCCTTGTTATTGCTTCAAATGTAGGTTTAGGAATATTTAAATATTTTCTGAGCTTGAATTTTAGTATAATTTTTGGGCACAATTTCATTGCTTAATTTCCTCCTCGGTTTTCCAACTTTTTTTGGAAATGCAGGGTCTTTTGCAGGTCTTGGATTTCTGTCTTGGTACCTGGCAGGCAAAATCAAAGCATTTGACCGTAGAGGTCATGTCGCAAAACTTTGTATTGTAATTCTTCCTCTACTTTGTGCATCCCTTGTGGCAGTTTCTCGAGTTGATGACTATTGGCATCACTGGCAGGATGTATTTACTGGAGGCCTCTTAGGTTTGTCTTCCTATGATCATTATTGGTTTTAAGAGTTGTATTTCTTTGGAAAATCTTGTAGAGATTTCATCCATGCTTTGCCACATTTTTATACTTTGCAGGATTTATAGTTGCTTCCTTTTGCTACTTGCAATTCTTTCCAGCACCTTATCATGTTGATGGTACGTACCTTGTTTCTTTATATCCTATTTAGTGAATATACATATCTAGATGGAAATCCACGTGTGCTTCTCTATTTGATAATTGTATGCTCCTGTTCGTCTCTCTCTGAACTGTTGTTATACAGAGACGTCTGGAAGAGTTTCTTAACTGAAAAGAGGGAGGACTTTTTTACATAGAACCGATTATCATATACCTTTCTTAAATTGGAGGAAAAAAGCACTTCTGGGCATGTCACCAAAGGAGTGCTTACAGGGCCCGTGACTAATGATCGAGTCATCATAAGTTCAACCAATGTCGTAGAAAGGGCTTAAGCGCTTATGGGGGTCAGACATGGCGTCTAGGCATAAAAAGCAAAAACAAAAAAGCCCCCTGAAACAAAAAAAAACCCTTTTCTTTGTTTGAACAAATTTTGCTTTGGAGGTCAGTCGTGG